TATGAAACGATAGATTGACAATTGGTTTCTGTGGATCGATAATCTTTTATATTACTCTGACGCGATTCGTACACTTGTGAATACACCGCATCAAAGATCAATGATTTAAAGATGAATAATGATACCCCAATGATGTATAATTGATGTAGAAATATAGGATTATTATAATTGATGATTGCCTATGATTAGAGGATGTTTTTAGGGCCTAAGGCAGGGAGATCGCAGTGAAAACGTAGTGAAATCGCAGAAAATATTCATGATAGCAGAGTATGTGTCGACCTCAAAAGCCATGTGTCGATACATGCGGGTTTTTGGACTCAGGATGAGTCGATACGAAGGAGCATGCGTCGATACATGCGGTGTTGCAGACTCAGTATGAGTCGATACAAAGGGATTACGCATCGACTCGTGCAGCATGTTAGGTCAGTAAGCGTCGACTCAAAACAGTATGTGTTGACTCATGTAGTCTGATTTTTGGCAGATTCGTTTCCAAAGGCTGTAACTTGAGTTTCCGGACTCCGTTTGAGGTGTCGTTCGAAGCGTTGGATAGCTAACGCGATGAACTTCATTCTTAAGAATTAAAATGAAGGATAAGAAGAATAATCCTAGTAACCCAAATTAGGATTAGAGTTATCTTCCCGCGTTAATCGCTATGATTTTGTATAGTATGATGAGGATAAGACGATTATAGATTATTGTTTTGTTTATAAAATTAAGATTAATGATGATAATGATGTAGTATTACAAAATAGTAATAGGTAGAGGTTTGGTAATTTAGAGATAAGTCTTAGATGATTAATTAATTATAGATATTATCATGTTGTAGGCCTAGGGCCAACGTTGCGGGATTGTCAATCTATCGTTGTATTATTGTTGTGGCTGAGTTGCTGTAAAATTATGTTGATGAATTACGTTGATGAAATTATAATGATGAATTATGCGATGAATTATGTTGATGGATTATATTGATGAATGATATTGAGACGCCTCTAATAATTGGCAGCTATTAAGATGTAGGCTTCTGGCCAACGATGATGTTGTGTTGAGATGTCGTTAATTATGGTTGTTGTCATTACATTCATGATTGTGTCGCATATATTACATTTCAAGATGGAGCTGATGCTCGTTAAGATGGCCTGTATTGGCGAATATTAAGATGAAGGCTTATGCCTTGTTGATGCCTCTATTTATTGGCAATTATTTGAGATGGGAGTTCTGCTCCAATGGTACTACATGCATTTGCATAGTATTGAGTCGCATTATATGATTTGATAAAGAAGTTGTGCATTGATGCGGTAAATGTGTATATTGTTGGTATTCTATTGCGATTATTATTGTTTATACGATGAGAAGTGGTGATGTTATGTGATCTAATTTAATATATTATTTATCATACGTTTTATTATATTGTTAGATATCTCATCCCTTCTGTTTGAATGTTACCCTTATGTTGGTAACGTGCAAGTAATCCAGAGTGAAGGTTGTTTACCTTCAATAGTTTGAGTCGGTGTCATTGCTCTGATACGTAACACTCGGGGGGAATGAACGCTTGTTGCTTTTAGTTATTGATTATTTTAGTTGTTGAACTTTAATTTGTTTGTTGCTAAGTATGCATTATTTTGAAGTTGTTGTAATTGTTGGACAAGGATGTTATTATGATTCCGCTGCGTAGTTGTTCAAGTTGTTGAATGAAGAGATTAGACTATTATGTTGTTGGTTCATCCGAACTTTAAAGTGTTATGTATCCATGTTGAATGCAATGTGTTTTTAAAGTTGAATTTGTGGCATCCTGATTCAGTTGCATGAATTTTATGACTCTGATTTACATTTATAATTTCCGGGTAGAATTGGAGTGTTACAGAAATCATGACTCTAAGGATGGACCTTCTGAAGGAGGAGCTTCTAAAGGAAATTTAGCATTTGACGATGATTATGATTCTGAAAGTGAAACTTTTGAAGGCAGAACTTTTAAAGATGGTATTTCTGAAAGTAGTGGTTTTGAACGAGGTCTAGAAGCTAACAAAGGTGGAGCTTCTGGTGGTAGTCAAACTTTTGGAGAAAGTTCAATTTCTGAAGCAAGAGCTTCTGAATGGGAAAGTTCTGGTGCTTGAGATTATGAAGTTCAAGTTCAGAGGCAACAAAGAGTCAGAAGCATCCCAAGAAGATTTGCAGAGTTTGAGATGTTGCAAGACACTGAAGTAGACTCTGAAGGAGAAGTTATTCAGTGTGCAATGTTAGTAGACTCTGAACCCGTGAGTACGGGAGATGCTCTTAAGCAGAAAGTCTGGTTCAGGCCATGAAATAAGAACTTGATGCTATAGAGAGAAACAAGACTTGGAAGCTGGCAGAATTTCCAAAAGGCAAGAAAGCCACCAGCGTCAGATGGGTTTTTAAGCAGAAGTTAACGTCAGACGGATCAATTAGAAAACACAAAGCAAGATTAGTAGCAAGTGGTTTTCTACAGAAGTCTGGACTGGATTACTCTGAAGTGTTTGTATCTGTAGCGAGACATGAAACAATCAGACTAGTGATTGCAATAGCTGCTAACAGAAATTGGCATCTGATGCATTTAGATGTAAAATTTGTATTTCTGAATGGTCCATTACAAGAAGAGGTATACGTGTCACAACCTCCTGAAATTGAGGGGAAAAAAATCAGGAAAGGATGGTGTTCAAATTACATAAAGCCTTGTATGGATTGAAGCAAGCGCCCAGAGCCTGAAATCTGAAGATTGATTCATTTTTCAAGGAACAATGATTTCAGAAGTGTGAGATGGAGTATGGTGTTTATGTTTAGCATACTTCAGAAGGTAATATGATTCTGGTATGTTTGTATGTTGATAACATATTGCTAACAGGAAGTTCTGAACAAGAGATAGCTAAATTCAAGAAGGTTCTGATGAATGAGTTTGAGATGACAGATCTTGGGAAAATGAGTTACTTTCTAGGGATGTAATTTATGTACTCTGAGAAAGAAATCATTTTGCATCAGATGAAGTATGAATTTGAGCTTTTGAAGAGATTTAAGCTGGAGAATTGCAAAGCTGCTATCATACCTCTTGATACGAATCATAAGTTGGACTTTGATTTCGATGGAGAGGATGTGGATGCTACAACCTTCAAACAGTTGGTTGATTCTCTGAGGTATTTGTGTAATACCATACCTGATATTTGTTATGCAGTTGGAATGGTTAATAGATTTTATGAGTAAACTAAAGTGATCTCATTATCAAGTTGTTGTCAAGATTCTGAAGTATGTGAAGGAAACTCTGAAGTATGGAGAGTTATTTTCTTTTGGAAGAAAGACTGAATCAGAACTTCTGAGTTATTCAGACTCTGATTGGTATGGAGACAGAGTTGACAGAAGAAGTACGTATGAGTACTTATTCAAATATCTAGGAGGTCATATGTCTTGGTGTTCCAAGAAGCAACCTATTGTTGCGCTATCAACCTGTGAAGCTAAATATATTGCAGGTGCTCTGACTGCATGCCAAACTGTGTGGATTCTAAGCTTGATGCAAGATCTGAAGATTGAGGTAAACAAACCTCTGAAGCTGATGATTGATAACAAGTTTGCAATCAATCTTGCCAAGAGCACTGTGCTGCATGGGAGAAGCAAGTATATTGAGACCAAATATCACTTTCTAAGGAATCAGGTTCAGAGTGGAATATTAGAAGTTGTACACTGTAGCACCCAAAAGCAACTGACAGACGTTCTAACAAAGGCTATCAAGACTGATCAATTTATTCGTTTGAGGGATGAAATTGGTGTTGTTAGTTTTGTGTAAATATAAATTAAGGAATAATATTGAAAATAATTTATATTTTAGGAATGTCTTAATGACAAAGTTTGTTAAATGGTATTTTAGTATTTTATTATATCCTAATTTCGTGTATAAATAACCTAGTAGTAGGTTAATGTAATTAATTCATTACTCTTTATTTTGTAGTCGTCATTCAATATATTATTTTTGTCTTTCATCTCTGTTTGTGCACCAACACCTCTGCCTCTATAATGAATTCTTACATCTAATGGTGAATATTTACTCTTCTAAATCTTACATAAGAAATGTTCTCTTACATGATATGTTGTCTATGTTTGTCACGTTTCTCACAATAAGAGTGTATAGCTTAATAATTGATAGGTCTAGTGTTTTTGTGTGACCTAAAGAGTGAGTAAGTTAATTCGTTCAAGCTTTATGGCCAATTGTCACATCCAAATCTGAATATGTTAGAACAACGGGGGAGAAAAAACTCATTTACTTTGTACATGCAGCTAAAGTGAAGACACCAAAATGAACCTTGAACTCAACAGCAAGAAGTGAATGTGTTTTCCTCTATTTTTTAAGGCTGAACAAAGCTGTGAATAAAATTTAACACAAAAGACCCATGAGCAAATGGCTTAGTTGACAAATATGTTATGTGTGACTACAACATTTGAAAGTTGGCCTTACAAATAAGGGAATTAATCAAGGTTCAATTTCACAATAAAAGGGAGATTTATACACAAAAAAAAAGAGATCAACTTATGCTAAACTATTATTATAAATGAAATACCCAAATTACTGGGCAAAACAACAAGGTTTGGCTGAGCATAGCATTGATTTCATAAAAGATGTGTTATGTACACTTCTGTTTATCAAAATTTCCTGCATAACTCTGTATGGGATACCAGATCAAAAGACAAGGACTTCAAGCTATCTTCTATTAATGACTTGTTTGGCGATGAATATGTATCCTATATCTTTTGCAACTTATAAGAAAGAAAAAAATTCAAGAAAAACAACATAGCAAACATGTTTTATTAGTCTTTATGCTTATGCATAATATATATGTTAACTATGCAGGATCCATAATCATTGTTACAACCCACATACCCTTAAAGCAAATTCCAAATATAATTCTGATTAGCTCATAACAAAAGACAAAGCGCCGAAAATTCAAAATTCCATTGAAATAGAAAAAGTCTCAAAACCCTAAAACAGAGTAGTGAGAATGGAATCAAATGAGCTTGAAAGGAAGAGGCCAAGGAGTAGACCTGGGAACTTCAACCTTATCTTTCATTCGCTCAATCATCTGTTCTCTCTTTGGACGAGATTTCCCATACGAGCCCTTGAATCGCTTCCCTTTCTTTGTCTTTTTGTCACCGCGACCACACACTATCGGAGCTGCTACGCCGGAACAGCCAGACGGCGTCTCCGTTGACGCACCTCTAATCAACCACCTCGCAGCGACGGTGCACCGCTGCATCGCACTACCACCACTCGCCATTGACACTTCTCTTTTCGCCGTTTACAGCTCGCGCTTAGCTTCTTGCACATTATACTGGATTATGGGCCGGGTCCATTATTTTAAATGTAAATATTTTTGTTATTCTGTTTTTGCCCCCTACATTATTCAAGTCTATATACTCTATGTTTTAAAAGAAGGTTTAAACATATTTTTTGTTCATGTAATTTATTTTAAAAAATGACTGAACTTTGGATGTCTTTGTTGTTTGTAAAATTTTATTGATATGTATATGGTGTACTATATGATGTACACAAAAGCATTGTCAAAATAACACAGCTGAAATAATAATGAGTTAGGGTTTGCTCTATTTAAAGAGTAATCCATTTACTTCATTTATATTTAAAGATGCAAAGACAATTGACAAACAAACATCCAATGGTCTGGATTTAAAAATAAACAAAATAATTTAGTATTTGTTTAATTTTAAGAAAGAAAGAAAAAAATATTTCAATGTCTTTTTTATATTCACCTCTCATTCTCTTCTCTCTTGCTTGCTCTGAATATTGCTCCTCTCAATTCAATTCATTCTCTCATTTTCTTATCCTTTACCATCGTGGACACGTTGTCACCATTGCCATTTCATAAATATTATTGTCGACAATTGCGGCATGTTGTCACCATTGTCGTTTTTTAAAAAAGTTATTGTTGACTCATGCCTATGAGGTTCTTATAAATACCTATATTCTAAGGCTGAAAAGATATTTAATCTACTATGCAAAACACCAGATACACAGCTTCTCATCATCCATGTATGAGCTTGTTCTACCACCAAAACAACTCTAAAAGTACATGTCAACCCTACATAACAATGGTTGTTACATATTATACTTTTATCAAGTACAATGGGCGCCCCACCGTGGGACCCTAACAAAACTCACTTGGGCTACCATTACAACATTCAGCTATATTTTTAGCCTCACGTTCAATTCTTTTATCCATCATGGATGAAAAAGAAGGTAGTAACTCCAACCATAATGAATCTGAAGGCGAGAAGCATGCCATGACAGAGATGACAGCTGCCATAGACCATTTATGTCGTCATAATCTTGGAGGATAACTTCCTCCACTTCCAACAATGACAGAAGGAGATGGACCCCCCAAAAGAGATTGAAATCGTTGACCTTTAACCTCTCTTAATGAGATATAGGGGATGTTGGTGCCAAAAAGCCTCAAGCCATCCTTGATATCTATGTTTGATGGGCACAACAACTTATACGAGCATGTCGCCTCCATCAACACATAAAATGAATTATTAAAGCTTTTGATTCCTTGAAATGCAAGCTTCTCTCAATGACCTCCAGAGATCTAGCCTTAAGGTGGTACACGGGTCAACATCAACTCTCAGTCACCAACTACCCATAATCGGTGAAAAAATTAGTATATCAGTTTGCAGTTGGCGGTCACTGAAAGATGGCCTCCACCAGCCTCTTCAACATTCACCAAGACCCTTTTGAATCTTTGACGAAATATAATACTCGCTTGAATGAGGAGACTATTAAGGTCAACCACACCTAACTAGGAGATATCTGTGACTAAAATGGGATGAGAGCAGTACATTTTAACGAGTCCCTCTCCCAAAGGCCAACAACGTCTTTAGCAAAGGTAGTGACACATGCATAATGTTATATAAAGGGTAAGGAAAGTAATGCAAAAAATAAGGCCAGAGATGTTAAAAAGCGTACATCTAACAACCTTGATAGCTCATAGCAATCATAGAATAACCATTATACCTTTTCTACTAGAGATAATAATGCCAAAAATAATCTTCACTAATTTGCATATCCTAAGTAAGCTTTAAGATGGAAGTGTTGTTTAGAGTTAAAAGGGATCTTATTCCAAAGCCCTCTGGTTCTTAGGTTGGCAAATTTTCTTCCATGCCACCACGACTAGTTTTGTATAACTAACATTACCACTCCAAATGGAATTCCCACATGCTTACTCAATGGTCCTAAGGAGTGATGTAGGCCAGGAATAGACAAAAATTGAATGGTAAAGCATATTATGTATCACAAACTAACCAGGGTGGTTCTACCAGCATAGGAAATAGTTGACCATTTTTTAGTAGCAAGCTCAGCAACAATCTTATAAGTTAAAATTTGAAGGTGTATTCTTTTCACTCTACCGTTGAAAATTGGAACTCATAAGTAGTTAAAAGGAAGGGTTCCTCTCTTGAAGCTTGTGAGATTAAAAAAGTAATATACTTTACCAGGAGTCATTGAGCCAAAGTAAATAGTAGATTTATCATTATTAATGATTTGTCCAGAAGCAGCAAAGTAACTATAAAATAACTTTTTAAGAGATGTAATGTTGATGGATTTACCTTTGTAGAAAAGAAGGGTGTCATCCGCATAAATTATATGTGTGGGAATATTAAGCTTTTTGGTGGCCTTCATATGGATGAGATCAACCCTAATGACAAGGTTGGATAGATATCTACTCAACACATCTTCAGCAAGATAAAAGAGAAAATGGGATAGGGGATCCCCTTGTTTTACTCCTCTTTTCTAAGGGAAAAACCCATGAGTGGAGCCATTGAGAGATATGTAGATTCTGGAAGACTCAAGGATACAAGATATCCAATGGCAGAAGGTGTTATTGAATCCAATCTTCTTTAACACTTTAATGAGGAAAGTCCAATTAATGGTATCAAATGCTTTGGTGATGTCAATCTTGAGGGCTATGTTTCCACCACGAAATTGTTTGTTTTGGAGATTTGCCACCTTTGAGGCCACACATAAGAAATATTTTATATTCCTTATTTGTATTAACCATTTTTGTTCCTTGGACGCCAAGAAGGGAATAATTTTGGATAACCTCTCTATAATGATTTTAGATATCAGTTTGAACTTAAAGTTAGCACGAGCTATATGCCTAAATTTATCCATAAAACTGGCTTCTATTGATTTTAGGATGAGGACTATTGTGTTAGCATTGTAATTGGGGATCATCTAGCTAGACTTGAAGAACTGTCAGGTAGCATTGAAGACATCATCTTGAATTATGTTCTAATAATTTTCAAAAAAAGACTCCCCTAAACCATCGGGCCCAGGGGCACTCTCCTTATTGAGACCAAAACTTGCAGTTGTGATTTCCTTTTTAGATGGAATGTTAGTTCAATGACCAATGAAGGAATAATATCAGCAAGGTCATTATCCTGAGAATCACTTATAAAACTAAAAATGCTAGTGTAATAATTTACTACATGGGCATCCATCACTAAAGGGCCGGTGATTATAGTGTTTTCAATTTCTCAAACTAGTGATTTTGTTTCTTGAGCTCTTAATTTTGGTCACTTTATGAAAGTAGGAGGTGTTTCTCTCTCCCTCCTTATGCCACGTGATTCTAGCTTTCTCTTTCAGGAAAAGCTCTTCCTTAGCCATAACAAGCTCTAGCTCATGTTGAGCTTTGTAAGGTTAACGATTGGTGTGAGTACCATGTGATGCATGTCCCCAATCACATCTTTATTCAAAATTTTAACATGTTTTTTTAGGGATTCAAGTTTCCGAGACAAGATAAACATCATGAAATAAACAACAGGTTGGGCCCATACGTTAACATTGAGGTTTTTACACTGGTCATGAAGTGGCCACGTAGTCAGGAACCTAAATATGGCTTTGATCTTGACAATACTGAAAGTTGTAACACCCCAATTTTAGTAATTTATTTAATTTAATTTATTTTGATTTAATTATAATTTGATGTATTTATTTAATTATTATGTGTGGATGATTAAATAAATATGGGAGAGAATGAGGGTGTGTGACCTTATGGTAGAGTGTGGAGAGTAATTAGAGAAAGAGAGAATAATTAGAATCATTTTATTATTAATTAAAATAATGATTTGGTTATATTATTTAAATAAAACAAATAATTAAAAAGAAAATAGGTGTGTAGAGGAATTAAGGGCAATATTGGACTTATGATGAGTAAGTGAGGATAAGGTAGCATTATGAGAAAATATTAAGGTTAAGATGAGGATAATTTACTGAAGGAACTAGGTTTTTAGAGTATTGTGAGGGAATAGAGTTTACATTATGTATTTTGGGAGAAAAGAGAAAAGTGGCAAGAGTCTAAGAAGAAAGAAAAAGGCTTAGAACTTGGGAGAGAAAAATCCAAAGATCGATCAAGAATTTTCTGCAATCACAAGGTAAGGGTGAGAATTTGGTTCAATAATAGGGGTGTGATGAAAGGGTAGCATAAGATTTTTAGTTTTCTTTTGATTTATGATGATAATACTATTTTGATATGCAATAATATGGATTATGTTCATGTGTATTGTTGACATGTGTCAACAGAAGCAATTATTTATCCATTGAATCAAAGAGAGAAAAAATTCAGATTATCTCTAGAGTACAAGTACCGGCCCTTATATATACAAAAAGGCCGAATGAAAAGAAACACCAGAAAATAAACCTAAAACTAATTAGGCTTATTATTAATGGGCCCAAATATTTTAACACCCCCTTCAAACTGGAGTGGATGTTTAACAATCAAAGTTTAGACATACAAGAGGTAAAAGGACCTAGATGAAGATATTTAGTAAACATGTCGACAACTTGGTTTTCAGAATTAATAGGCATAAGGTGAATGGATTTGGATTGCAGTTTGTCACGAAAAAGGTGACAATCCATCTCGATATGCTTGGTACATTTATGGAATATAGGATTCTTAGCAATGTGGTTTGTATGAGTTTAACAAAAGATTTGATGGGTGAGGAAGTTTTAGACTTGCTTTTCATTGAAAAAATCCAATAATAACGGCGGAAGTCGTCAACAATAGTGAGAAAATATTTATGACCATTAATGGAAGTGCAAGAAATGGGTCACCATATGTCCATGTGAATAATTTCAAAACAGTTAGAAGTTTTAGAAGTGCTATCATGAAAAGGCAACTGTTTTTGTTTAGCATGAAAACAAGTGCCACAGGGATCAACATATTTATTCAAATTAAACAAAAGAAAAATTATATTTATTTGAATA